TATCTTTATGCCCAAAAAACTACGATGCCACCTCATTCGAAAATGCAGAAAATTCACATTTTTTCCACTTGCAACAATAAAAAGCAAAAGAAACAGTAGCTACGTTTTCATGACGCAGTTTAAGTAACTATATGACGTGGCTGAATAGTAGGGGTGCTGTAAAAAACCTCATTAGAGTGAAATTGGAGACAAACTTTCAAAAAGGGGACACTACAATATAGCAGGCAGATGCTATGCAGAATTAAGTTTGATAATTGATAATAAAATAATAAGAAAGTCATCATAAAAGCAACTAAACAGACAATAAGGTTGTTGAATTATTATACGGGTTTTTTTAAAATAATATTTATTATGAAAAATTGAGTCTTTAGAATCAAGCAATACAGTAGTAGCAGTATAGTAGTAGCCAAAGAATCTTAACCGTTTCCCTTACCAACTTAAAGGTCAATTTTTTTAACCATTTGATTGGTTATAGAATTTTTTTTGACAAGAATATAAAGAATATCTAAAAGTACATAATCAAATTATTTTAATGATAAAATTAAAGTTTGTTAGTTCCCCATTAGAAAAAAATGAAATAGATAGAACCTATAATAACTGATATTAGGACCGATATGGCGTGGATCATTGGTACCTGATTGGAAGACGCAATCCACAACTGCCGCAGATGTTCGCACCGGTTCACAACAAGACGATTACCGTTAGCCAAGGACAAATGCTAGCTGCTAGGTAAATTTATTAAGATCAGGAAGCTTTGTAAGAAATTGGATTTATTTGTTTGCAGATGCATTATGAAGAACGATGAGAACCGCAATGTACCTATGGGACAGACTGGAGAGGACGAGATGTGCAATTTCTACATGATGTACTGGGTTGATGGCGATCGGGTAATCGATTAACTGATTTTTTTTCGAACTGACGTTTACAAATTCGGCTAAAGTAAGCCAAAATCAGCCTCAAATCGCCTGACTCTTTTGCAGGTTCTCCAAGACAATACTTGCTACTCGCCTGGAGCTCCATTCTACCACTGGGCTACCGAAGGTGGCCTCAATCATATTCCAAAGTAAAGTCGCACTATCAACTATGGCGTCGAATCGAGACACGGGCTGAGATTATCGGGGGGAGAGTGAGTAAGACAGAGATCATCTATTCGTTTGAGTTGTATAAACATGTTGCACCTTTATTGCTTCACATTGAATTAGACATTAAGGTAGCTTTTACGGTACAGTCATCACTGTAGTGCATGAGATTATGAAATATAGCGTACTTCTTTTTCGAAGATTTTCTGTTTTATTGGGCGTAATTTGAAAGAAGTTGATTAAAGCATTCTGTGAAAAAGAAATGATTGAATTAGGGCTTACTATCAACGGAAAAAGGACAATAGTTGGATTATGAAAGATCATAGAAAGGTTCTTTCATACGAAGGATTGCTAGCTAATTGGACTACTGAACTGTTCAAAATATCACAATTAATATTTCATATATTAAGGGGGAGTGCTCCATTTTAGAGTAAAAATATCTACTCTAAGATGTTTTAGCACTCCCATATCAGCGCACTCATACATGCATAGAGGAGTGGTAAAAAAACCTGGCCACCCTCTGAAATTGAATGAGTGACACATATAAAGCCGATTATGAGATTATTAAATTCAAAATCCAGGCATATCTAACCTAAGTGAGTCCCTTTGAATTTCATACTTCCCTAATGCAGTTTTTGAAGGAACAATAAACTCCAAGAGCAGAGCTAGAAATTTTTACACATAAAAAAACAATAACATGTTATCCTTTTTTTAATTCGTTGAAAACAAAGAAAAATCAACTTATCTGATGGAATGTTTTGGCTGAAAGTAAGTTTCATTCTTCTCATTTAAAAAACGGGGATGTTCGTGCACCCCAAAGATAAGATCCCAAAGATACCAAAGATATCTTAGGAATCAGCCATTACTCCTATTTTATGTACTAAATCGTATCAACCGCATTCCTTTATATTGAGGGCTGCTATCTATTTATTAAGAGAG